CTCCCCACCCTCACCTATTTTAAGGAAAGTAAATGGTGGGATTCTTTCTACTGAATCATTTGGTTTTAATGAGTCGTGTATCAGAGAAATGTGTGCAGCAAAATGTAGAGCAGAAAATAGACCAATAATTCTAATGGTTACTATTTACATTTCACCCAATCAAAGTGTAAAGAAAATTATCGAATTCATTCACAAAAATTTATTTGCCTACACTGTGTGTGAAGCCGGATCAACTCTTCTGAATAAATGGCCTATTATTTTAAGTGGGGATTTTAATGTAGATTTTTCAAAAGACTAATCAAAGCCTTTAGTAGATTTTTTAAATCAAAATTCAATTTAATTATGTCAAATGATCCAAATGAAAGCACTACACTGCACGGAACAATGCTCGACGGAGTATTTTTTAGATATTTAAATAATTTTGAATCTAAAATATTTATAACCTATTTCAGCTACCATAAACCTATTGTTTCCTTCTTAGAATACAATTAATTCACAAATATGTATATTTAGCAAAAAATATTACTTTATGAGTACAGACATATGATTAAATATATATAATTTTGTATTACAATACTAATACAATATCCTCTTGTTTTTTAATCACCTAACTAATCACTTAAATAACAATACAAAATGTGAAGTTATTACTTCTATCGTGGGGTCATAAACACACACTCTTTTTTTCTGTGTTTTAGTTTTACAAAAACAATCTTTTTTTTATAAAACAATTATTATGAATACCACAACTCTTAATAGTTCCTTGAAGAACCTCTTTTTTATGTAAAAAGGAAATAAAATTAAAATGTATCGGTAAATACAATGTAAAAAATATTTATTGTGATTTATACTTACGTATTTTAAAAGAAGACACAATAGCTGTTTTGTGGAATACTTCCGAGCCATGTTAGACTTTTGGGAATTCAAGTAGAGTCCTGGTTCTACCAACGATATTTTGTGCAGACAACCAAGCGTCTGAAATTTAGATGGATCTTAAAATTTCCATTTAGAATGATATGAATGACAAGAGAATTAGGTATAATGCCTGAAACATCTTTCTATATATGGTTACCTAACCGTGCTTTAGAATTCTCTCAATAGTCTTCATTAATAGTCTACGAGTGGTTTTTAGTGCAATTGTGAATTTTGTGAATATTGCTATATATATAGAATTAAATTTACTTAATTATATCTGATTTATTTTGTAAAGTATATATATATATATACATTGTCTAGTTAGACTTAGGATTATAACTATTTGAATGTATTATTTTTATTGAGGATTATTATACATATCATTACACATTACTTAGTACAACAAATTATTCCAAATATTCTTTTTTTGAATAAGAAATAATACAAGTAAATTATTTGTTTCATTCTGTTAAAGTAATTTATACGAAGCGAAAGAAAGAGAACTGAAATTTGTTTCGAAAGCGGATTTAAAATTTTAAAACACCTAATATGATAAACATTGTAAGGTATCATATGTGAAAATAAATGCAAAATTCTCACTCGAGTCAGTCAAACGTAACTACTACATATCTAATCTCCTTATATATGATACAATGAAAAAAGGATTCTGAATATGAATAAGATGAACAAGCTGTACTCTAAAAATACTAGTATCAAATAATTGTTAAAAATGGAAATTAATCCTGAAAAATTGGGAGACCTCCAATCAAAATAAAATATGTGTGTTTCTAAACATAAGGATGCTTATTTAATCTATCTAAGAAGGAGTATATTTCATGCTATATATATATATGTTTTTAAATTCGTAGAATTTTAATCTACGATGTTGCATCATTTTTTTATGCATTCAAATGATTGCATATTCCCAACTGAAATTAGATCAGGGAGAAGCTTTTCCTTTGCAGAAAAAGTTGTTTTATCATATTTTTATATGTGATTTCTTTTATTTCTGTCATCTAATGTAGTTATTTTATGGCACGATGGAGCATTTTGGATACGGAATTCTGACGGTATTTTGAATATCTCCTCTAATCTAGACATATATTAGAAATGCGAAAGTTTGGTCGTCTTTCACGCAAAAACAACTGAATGGATTTTAATGAAATTTTACAGTAGCTTATACATCATATAGCTTATACAACAGAATAACACATAGGCTATAATTTACAGCATAGGCTATAATATATAAAGATATTGTGTGAAGTGTCCAAATTATAACGATATTTCGAAGTAGGAAAAAATTGTGCCATCTGCAAGCAATTCTGCCGTGCGCTGCAAAAAAGCCCACGGCAGCATATATCTATCTTTTATATGTGAAGAAACCCTTTTTGTTTTGGCTACGCAAGGCGCGCTCGCTTCTAATTAATTCCTGTGATCAGCATAATCCCTAATTTTTTTTTATTTCAGAATAAAACTAAGTTTTGAAGGGAGAGGTTGTTATAAATCTCTCTTTATTTGAATGTTTATTTATTTATTTTTTTATGATTTCATTATGCACATTTGGTAGTAAGAAATTGATCTTTTTTTCAAAATAAATACTTTTATCGGTTCTTGTACTTAAAGTAAATAAACTTTCTCTTTCACACTACATCATTTGGACAAATTTTCAAAATTTGTTTGTGGTTAGTAGTTAATATTACAGAGCTATAATTTTAATTGAATAGGCAGGTATTGCATTTTTACGTATAAAAATAATTATAACTACTGTACTGTATTTTTTGAAGTGAGTGAGTGAGGGAATATTAACGTCGCACTGTGTTGAGCTACACGAGGGCTTTTGGTAACGGACCACGTCATTTTGAACCATGGTCAAGTGACGTGGACGACACCTGAGCTGGCACCCCCTTCTCCTAACTACCACACCACACCAACTTAGAAGGAATATTCAACCAATACTTAGTAGAAATATTCTTTGAAATCCACTCTTCCAAGATATATGGCAGCACGGGTTCTATGATGAGTATTTTAGCGGGGAAGGCGAATAGTTTTGTAGCAGACATTGCGTTTTCAGCGGATTGCAAAGATTATTATTTTTGTCCCGAAAAAATAGTTTATGTCTCGATCCAATTTTCTTCTGAGAAAAAGTACATAAGTGTTTTCTTGTTTTTATAACAGTATTTAATCCAATTCAAGTGTTCAATATTTATTAAAATCCACCTCAGAGATAGGCATTTTAAAAGATTTCTTGCTCTATAGCAAAATTGTGTCAACAGCATCTATTTGTCACAAGTTGAGAAGAAATGCCTACTATCCATCACTCATCAAGGAAAAATCAGTAAAAGCAAACTGCCTCAGAGATTAACTAATGAAAACTCGAAGATCATTCATTTTAAGTTCAAGAAGCTTAGACACGTCAGTGAGATAAAATTTCTGTAGAAGACGCGCTCTTTTGGCACTAAAATGTCACAAGTATATTAGATTCATTAATCAAACTGTCGTCTTTGTTTGAATTGGGTGTTACATCTCTCGTAATGCGAATAGAATGCCTTGCATTTACATCTAATTTGGGCCTTTGTTTCGTGTATTCACTTTTCCAAAAGTTACATTCTCTCAAATAAATTAGTTAACATAACAATTTCTTTGGGAATATGTGTGTTATTTTTTTATTAAAGAAAAATTATATGATATTCCTAAGTAAGAGTTTAAAATAAATAATACAAGTTTTTCTAAATCGGCGTATATGTAGTTCAGTATTTTAACTTAAAGCAATAGATATACAACAAAATGTTGCATTTTTTAACCTTTGTTGTATTCACATCATTCAATAACTCGACAAAATTGTATATACGTGTGCCTTAAAGTATTCCGCATATTTGAGAGCTACACTACACCCATTAAGAACTCACGATAGATTTAAGTAGAAATTAGCGTACACATTTTAAAGTATCCGCAATACGTTTTCATTTCTTTTAAACTTTTTCAAATGAGGTGATAACATTATCTCAAAAATATTTTTAAATATATTACATAGATTTTTTTCCTTTGAATAATAAATGAATTCTTTTTGAGATGTTTTTATGCCTGGTCAAAGATACCTCATACGAGCAACTAAACAACAGTATCGGTGCACATTCGTTTTCAATTAATAAGAGGTCGCAATAAACGCGAAATATTTGTTTTCGATAAGACTTTTTGAGACTAGTAGCTACCACTCACCACAGGCATAATATGATAGATAGAAATGAAAGTTATATATATTTGTAAATTATATACATTATCTATTTATGACGTGTAGCATATCATTGAGAAATAATATAATGAATGTGGAATCTGTGTTTTCTTTTACTCCATGTATTTTCTTGTAACTGAAGATACTCTTTTTTAATCAAAGTCTCTTTCTATAAAAATTCTTAAGGTGATTTTTACTCTCAATGTTTCGCTCTAATTGAGAAAGGTCGATCGCTTTTATGATGCATTTCTACATATTGAAGAAGGAAAATTTAATTTTTTTTTTCATTTGAATTTTGTAAAATATTAAAACGTATTCTCAAATAATTCGTTACAAGCTTAGTATTTTCTGTTAGTGTGATGTATTTTTTAAATACAAAAAAAGAGAACCTGTTGGAACATTTATGCAAAATTAATGGCCAAAAACTAAAATAAAATTAACTATTTTCAATCTGGCATTTTATTATGAAATTGCTATAAAATTCATTTGGTTGCAAAGAAGATCCGATTTGTTACATTTTACATTATGTTTTCAACTGTCGAAGTTTGAGACCCAAAATAGTTCACTGGCAGCGCAGCTGTCTGTTATTCAATTCCTATATATATATATACTATTAGTTCACACTCTCACTATATATATATATATAAAATCTTGTTCAAATATTCAATAGTTAATAAAATCTTTTCATTCATCCACTCAAGTTCAGATACATTTTTTTAAACTTGTAGTGGGTGGCACTTGATGTTCATACAGTTTTTTCAAATATTAATTCATTAAATTTTTAATTAGTGAATAAATAGTAAAAAACAAAAATAATAATCCAACACCATATTTTAAAAGGAAAAACGCTCGTTGTGTCCCAGTAGAGCAATTAGTAGCGCATTGAACTTCTACTCCAAAGCTCGTGGGTTAGAATCCCACCTGGGATGGCCTAATTTCTGAGAATGTGATTTTATTTTATCATACTATTTTATTGTAATAATTATATTTAATTAATGAATAGATAGTAACAAACACACAAAAATAACAGTTCAACACTCTATATAGAAAGGAAAATAAAAAATTGTTAGGAAAGCCGCCTTCTACTTTTGCCACTTAATATTGTGATTCTGTCATATATATATATATATATATATATATATATATATATATATTTATAAAAAGTAATTCAAATCAAATATTTCTTTGTTGACCTCAGCAGTAGGAATTGACTTTAATTTTTTTTTATATCACTTGTTTTATTCCATAACATCTTCAAATCCATATTTCGTGCATTCTAGGCTTCACAATGTTTTCACACTAATTTATTTCTATTATATTTTCAATTTAATCATCATTGGTTCCCGTGCACAAAATATCTTTGAATGGCTTTCTTTTTGCAATAATAAGAGCGTGGATATATACTTTCCTTTTTGTGGACCTGCCAGGCAGCATTAGTTAATCACCAAAAATGTACGCTTGCGTTGGTTCATCATCCAGCAGTATCTTACATAGCGGTCATTATGAAAAAGTTAGTTTTCAATTAGGTCTTATTTTCGGTGAAACAAATGATAAGTTTTCGATTGATTGTTTTCAATAGGAGTGGCTGCAAGCTACAAGAAGATTACTACCAACAGAATTTGTACTTGTGTACGATGGAGAATGCCTCACAGACGACACCTGAAATATTCAATCTCACGATTTCCACACCATACTATTTGAAAAAGGTTGAGCTTAAGAATTCCTTAGTTCCTTTTGTTCATCACAAAGATATTCCTTGGACTCACAACTCAATACGAAGCTTAGTATTTATAATGCTGAGGACCGTGACTCACTAATAACTTTTCAAATGACTGTTAACTGGGTGTATTCCAGAACTTATTCACAGCTCTTGTTTAGTTTTTAATAGGAAAAGCCCAAACATAGCGAGTTGCATGATCAATGACTAAGGGGAGATACTCTTTAATAGAATTACAATAAATAAATCCACCAACACTATATCAACAGAGATACTCAAAAGGTTGATCTGTGGGGGGTACAGTCTGAAAAAGACCAAATCTTGTTTGCCTTTTCTTCTTATTTAATTGATATACATTACAATGTTAAACAAATTTTGAAATATCTAAGTTAATATGAGGCTATTGTGAAGTAATTAGATTTATCATTTTTTGGTATCTGGGTGTCCAAGTTGCTCATGAGCATTTTGCAAAATTTTTCTTCTTAATGAAAAAAGTACAGCAATTTTAAGTAGATTTTTCTTTCTGAGGACAAGGACATCATTAACTTTCTTATACATATAGTCATTTACATTGTCTAAATTTTGATGTGTTTTTATCTCATCGAATTCATATAAATGTACTGAGTGTTGGATATATTGCGCAATAGTGTGTCTTAAAAACATGTCAGCTTCAACATTATTAGTCCCTGTTAAATATTTTACTTCCTAATCAAACATGCTTAGTTTTAAAGGCAAACGAAATTGCCTATCCTATAAATTTTTAACACTTTTAAGCCAAACAAGAGCAGCATGATCAGTGTGGATTATGAATTTTTTACTATGCAAATAATAATAAAATTTATTAAGAGTATCTACTACGGCCAAACATTCCAATTCTGTGATGCAATAATTTTTTTATAATCATGTAAAGTTTTAGAATGATAAGATATTGGGTGAATAGTACCAGAATTGGCTGCTTTAAAACTGAACTAATTGCATTTTGCGAAGCATCACAATATACATGAAGAGGTAATTTCGGATCAATAATTGCAATACAGGTTTAGTTATTAATTTATTTCTTAACAATTCAAATGCTGCTAAACATTCAGCAGTCCAATTCCATTGTTTATCTTTCTTTAATAGTTGATTTAAAGGTTCTCTAACTTTAGCATATGAATCAATAAATTTGCTATAAATATTTACAGAACCAAAAAACTTTGAAGTTATTTAATATTTTTAGGAGGTTGTAATTTTTTAATTGTTTCAATATTTTGACTATCAGGTATAATGCAAACTTCTTTAATTTCCTAGCCTAAAATGTTTATTTTATGATTTGCCAAAACACATTTTGAAAATTTTAGTTATATGTTTTCTTCCTCAGAAATTTTGAATATTTTTCTTAAATGAGCATAGTACTTCTTTAAAGAATTTGAAAAAATAACTATATAATCAAAATAGTAACAAGCAAAATGTGAGCATTTTATTTTAGTTAAAATTTTACGAATAGCACGATTAAACATTGCAGGGGCGTTTCGAAAACTAAAAGAGAGGACTTGAAATTCATATAAACCTTTACTTGTAATAAAAGTTAATTTTTTCTTTATGTTTATCATTGAGATGAATAGCTGTAGCTGATGTACTAAAAGCTCTTTGAGAAATTGGGAGATCTGATGTCATTAATTCTAGGGATTCCATTCTCTAAGTTTACCTATATCCTATTTATTTTCAGAAAAAAACCCATGGGAGTGTTCTGAAAGAAGTTCCAGGTTGGGAGATAGTTCTTTAACAATCAGAGGTGTGAGAAAACTTCCACTGAGATATTTACTAACTCTTCCGGAGTATGTTGGTTTATGTTTTCCTGTATGTGTAATAACATGTGCTTAGTGAATTTATTAGGATTATTTACAATAATTTGTCCATTTTGTAATAATTGGTTAAGTTCACAATTAATAATAAGTTTATATTAGCTACACTCTGATAGTCCTAGAATAATATAAGGGAAGCTACTACTAATAATTTATAGATTTAAGTTTCCTACTATTTGTCCAATTCTTGAAAAAGTTTTGCATAGTTGGTTTAGTTGAAAATTGCCATGGGCTTGGTTAATATGCACAGGGCTAGTTGTTTGTTTTGGTAATTTAAATTTATTTGCAATATCTGCAGATGTTAAACATAAAGTGGATCCAGTGTGAATAACAATATTTACATTACTATACTTACATTGAATAGGTAGATTGTTCAAATTAGCTAGGCTTGTCAATGATGGGATATGTCCGGACACTTGCAGTTGATAATATGCTGGACCAGAGGATGCCTCTTCGAGTACAAATACTATGTTGATGGACAACATGACATTCCATGTTGAAAATGTGTGTGGTGGCTGGGCCTAAACCCTCGATTGGAAAAGTTGTGACCATGAGGATTTGGTATATGTTGGGGACGCGTTCTATTAACATTTTGAAAATTGGGCTTAAGAGAATTGTAATTTTGAGGTAGGAAAGTATTTTGTCTTCGTCGAATTGGTAAATTTGTTCTATAAGTATTTTGTTTAGGCCTAGTGCCCTGTGTTTTCATTAATCGTGTAGCTACCATGAGTCATTCTGTAGGTGTGGTATGAGGATTAACTGTCATTAATTGTTTTATATTGCTGAACTTTCCATCAGTAAGACCTTCCAACATGAGTTGGAGAGAGAGACCTAATTGCCTATCACAATATATTTTTGATGAAAGTATTGTTTCATGCTATTTTTAGTTGGTGTTATGAGAAATCAAATAAATTTAGTAAATTAGGCTTTAAATTTTTTTACTAGGTTAGAACAAGGTCATCAAAGTTGGAATTATTAAGGTAAGGATTAATGTATTGGGTTAGAGCAGACCCTTTCAGATATTTTGAAATATTCAAAATTTCCCAATCATAATCTTTGTTATGTTTACATGCATTGTTAAAATATTCTAACCAGGGCTCAATCTTCAGAATCAAAAATGATTATTTATGGCTTACTAGGGATTTGATTAGTAGTACTATTTACACTTAACAGCCAAATTGGTCTGATCACTATTACTTTCATTATTTGCCATTTTATAACCTGATCTGAGGATCATACAGAAATTAAATTTAACTTAACTTAAAAATTTTAAGTACCAAATATCAAATATAAAATTGGAACATCAACACAAATATGATTATTTGTAGCTATTAATTATCAAAATCGAAATATAAACATTAAAAAAAATTTATATTTCTCATTTCAAAGTTTATCGCAATTTATATGTAACTTATATTATTAAAAATATGTCAACTAACTTGTTTTCATGAAGGTGTTTTCCATAAAAATATCAAAGATCATAATCAATTAAAAAATAGATCAGTGTAAAATATTCAAAATAAATGATTTTGAAAATAAAATTTTCTTAATGTGCATAGCATACATTTTAAATAATTTTAATCCGAAATTTCAAAAGTTAAAAACATGTTAAAATCAATCATTCAAAACTAATGATAAAAAAATAAAGCTCATAAGGTATGTTTTTATATGATAATTTTGAAAAAAAAAATAAACCTTCCGAATAGATATGAATTTTTCCTCATGAAAAAAAAAAAATTAAAATTTTGTGTTGAGCAGGCTTAGATTAAACTTGAAATCAATTAGATGACATGCACTCATCATATACATAATTAAACTTTCGATTATTTTGTGATGATTTCTTTTTGCTTTCACAAATTCGCGCACCACACAATCTGAACACAAATCGGGAATTTTGCTGTACAATGGAGTAGAAAAAGGGGATCCCATTTTAGCTTAGTAGTTCTGGGTTCATTTTTTCACATTTTATGTATACAATTTTTTAATGGAAGCACTTTCCTTACATTTTATTTTCACGATAGGAAACTGTCCTACCGACTTTTATGTAAGCATAGCTGGGGATAGGAATGTTGTTTGTTGGATTTTTGATAACCGAAAAACTTCTTCTGAACTAATTTTCTTCTTTTTTTTTTATTCATGGTAACACACACAAATGAACGTTAACAACATTTGGACTAATTAGCTTATTTGGATGAACACACACGTATAACACAAAAGCAAAAACAGGCAGTTCTTATTACATGATGCAGACAAACAAAGGAAGGAAAAAAAAGAAAAGGGAGCTCACAAAGAAATCTTGCCTTTTATACTGGCTGCAAAGGTCGCGTGACTCCTTCTAAGAGAAGCCACGATTGGTCAGAAACTGGTG